ACCAGAGGAATTCAAATGGAATACTGAAAGTATTCCAAAAAGCAGAAAGAATGCAGTAAAGAAGAAACAGAAGAATGAAATACAGAATGAATAAAAAAAAATAAAATGGTAGACTTAAAACCTGTAACTATTACATTAAATGTGATTTTTTAAACTTTATTTCTTAAGAGAGTGAAACAAGCACTTTTAACAGGGTTTCACTCTGCAACCATCCCCAAAACCTTTCCCAGCCAGCCAGGATCACGGGCGCATGTATGCTTAGCAGGTCTAGTCAAACCAGGAACTGAATCCTCATCTCCCATGTGGCTTCCAGCATTGCAGAGTATTGCACTACCCCTGAGTCAGCACAACTGGGCCTAAATGTATTATGGCCCAAGGCCACCAAATAAAGGCAGCACATTTCAGAATGGATTAAAAAAGAAAACACCCAGGGCCAGCAGGTGGTGTGGTGGTTAAGCTGCTGGTTCCCAGATGGCTGACTCTGCAGTTCACGTCTCAGACTCAGCGGCCTGAAGAACATGCCAGGCATGTGTGCATGCATGCCCCAAATCCTGAGAGGAGAACGGAAAAGGAGAGAAGGGATTTCAGCATTTTCAGCATTGGCCACTCCCCGCTAAGGGGTGATTTCTCATTCCCTCTCTCTCTCTCCAGTGACCATGCATACTCTATGGCAAAAAATAAATAAATAAATAAATAAATTAATTAATTAATTAAAAAAAGGAAAGAAAAAGAAAAAGACCCAACTACATAATAGCTAAAAACATAAATAAAACTCATTATAAGTATACTGATATAGGTAAGTTGAAAGTAAAAGGGTGGAAAATGGAAAACTATATGCCATATAAACGCCAAGTGTGTTATACGTGAACACACCAATTATAAGCAGCGTACATAGCTTACATGCGTTGTTAATGGAAAGGGAAATGGGACAAGCTCTTTAGAAAACAGCTCTTACATTCTCTGCTAACACCTACTGAATGACTCCCAATTCCACCCTAAGATATTGCCAACAGAAATGCATGCTTAGATACACCGAAAGGCATGTTCTAGAATGTTCTGGTCATGTTACCAATAATCCCAAATTGAAAGAACCCAATGTTTATAAAAACAAAAGTAAATAAAGTGTGTTAAACCATTTTAGAACCAATTTTTTTTTTTTTTGGAGAGGTTTTCGCTATAGGGCGCATGCGCTCGCCAGACAGAGCGAGACATAGAGACAGAAAGCGGGAAATCACCCCCCAGGGGGGATGGTCACGCCACAATCCCTTCTCCTCCATTCTCCTCTCGGGATCTTGGGCACACACGCACACACACCCAGCGTGAGTTTTAAGCCACCGGGTCTGGGACGCCAACCGCGGTCGACTACGTGGGAGTCCAGCGACATAGCCATTACACTAACTGCTGGTTCCCTAGAACCAATATTTTAAAACCAGAATGGAAATATTAGCAGAGAAGGTGCTGGTCTTGCTGTGGGAAGGAAAGAGCCAGAAGAGAAGTGTTTTCAGAATTAGATAAACAAGTACTTCTCAAGCATCTGCCGTACAGAACTGTCCTAGATGTTTCCAGACATATTATCTTATTTAATTCTTTCCAAGTAACAAATGACAAAGCAGAGCCAACAATAAAAGTGATCAGTAGTACTGTCTGCATAGTTTTCAGGATTAATACCCAATCCTGAGTCCCAAGAGGTGGAAACCAGAAGGCCCTCTGCAGAGGAGTCTAGAAGACCCTTCCTATGGCCCTGGCATTCACCCACCGCCTCACAGCAGAACTGTGTCCAGAACATTCACAGCCCTGAAGCTATGCTGAGGGGATTGGAAGGAGAAGGCTTTCTCTTATTTATTTATTTATTTTTTTGGAGAGGTTTTTGGTATAGGGCATGTACATTTGCCAGAGAGACAGAAAGCAAGAAATCACCCCCCCCCGGGGGGGGGGGTGGCCCTGGCACAACACC